AGAGTAAGACTGAAATTGTACATGAAGAGGATGAAAAAGAGTATGAGATTATGGATAAAATCGAGTTTAATGAAATGAAGAATCTTTTGGAAACGTTATTTCAGAAACCAAAGAAAGCAAAAGTGGAGAGAACAGCACAAGGCGGTAGTTTTCTATTGGCGGAACTTGGTACTGTGCTCAAAAACAGGAAACCCAATACTACAGTCTTGGAGTAATGTATTTAAATAAATAGAAATTTATTCCGAATCAGAAAACAAATCAAGTTTAGATTTCAATTCATCATCCACTTTTTCATCCTCATCAGGTTCAAATTCAACCACATTCATACTCTCATTGTTAATAATCCTCTTGACAACTGAATCCAAGACATTCTTTTCTTTTTCTCTCGCTTGCCGTTCTTTTACCAGTAATTCATACTTGTTTCTAGATAAATCCAACCCTAGGCGTTCTTTTTCCACATTTTCAGTATTTGTTTTGTAATCGAGAAAACACTGTCTGCTTTGTTGTAATTCCTGTTCGGTATAATTACCAGCTAGTAGTCGCTGTTTTTCTAGTCTTTCGATTGTTTCTTTGGATAAATCTGTAGTTTCAAAGTTGATTTCAGAAATTGAAGGCTCCAAATTGAATTTTACATACTTGCTTTTCATTCCTGGCTGTGCTTGTCTTCCGTTTGGCAATCTTTGTTTTAGTTTTGCAACTAGTCGTCCATTTATTCTAATCCAACCCTTCTTCAAATTCAACTCTTGAAACTGAATTTTATTTTTCTTTGTGTTTTTCTTTTTTTCTACCTCTGGCTCTTCTCTTTCTCGTTTAAGCTTAATCAGATAATCTTGTTTTGCTTCTTGTATTTTCAAGGTAGATTTCTTCCATTTTGTCAGATTCAACTTTAATAATTTTTTGTAGTTTAATGCGTTTGTTTTTATAGTACAAAAGGCGAATCCATTCTTGTACTCTGGGGTTTCAATTATTCCAAATAAACTTAATTTTTGTATTAATTCTGCAGATGAAATGTCGGCCAGACCTCCAATGTATAATCTTTTTGTTATTTCTTTATTTGGATCTTGTAATTCTTTTTCCTTTTCCTTTAGTTTTTCCAGTTTCTTGAGTTTCTTTATCTCTGATATCTTGTTTCGCTTATCTGCGTCTGTTGGTTTCTTGTTTACTCTTTTCTCTTGCTGCACTGCTATTTGGCCAGCTGTTGCACGCTGCTCTGTTGTTTTCGAGGTAGTTTGCCTGCCATTTATTTTTCCTCCAGCTTCCTGCATTCGATTTGTAGTTTGAGAAAAAAAAAAGAAAATGAATACCAGTGTGCAACTAAACACAAATTTAAAAGCCCTGTTTACAGAGACTCTGGAGCAGAAGCAAGAAACAGTATTCGCCTTTGGCCAGGAACCAGAGAAACAAGATTTTTTCACAGACCTGAAAACTACAAGGAAATTCTTTGTTTTGCCAGCAGATTTAAAGCAATTTGCAAAGAGTGAGAATTATATTGAAAAATGGAACGAGAATAAGCAAGAGTTGACTGTAGAGTACAAGAGGAAACATAAAAATAATAGAAAAAAATGAATTTATTTAATAAAAATAATACTGCGACTATCACTGGTGCATAATAGTTTGGTTGCTTGTACTCTGGCTTTCCTATGACATGAACTATTTGCTTGGTTTGTGAAAAAAGAAGATTCATTGAGATTCCCAAATTCTATTCTGGAAAATTACTTTTTCGAATCTGAAATGATTCTAGAATAAAGATACATATTAGGTTTATTCATATAAAGTCAATCGCCGAGTCTTTGCGCTTGTAATTCCACTCAATCCTTAGTTTCACTAGATTAGACAAGAAATACTGATTTCATAGGCAATCTGATAAGTTAACTTGGTTTCTTCACAACTGGTCCTGTCGTAGTCTGTATTGCTATAAGTCTCAAATATGGTTGGATTGGATTGGAATTGTATTCTTTTCATTTGGAAAGATTATTGGCGTTTCGCAGCACCTGATGAGCCGAATGGCGTTTGCATGAAAATGTTTTTGATGGGTTGATAACAGTAATCATCCATAGATAATCATGAAACACAAAAGTCTTGAATCATAAATTCTATTATTCCATGCTGTAATTTGTTTGGCTGTCTGGGATGAAAATGACAATGTGCTTCACAGTGACTTTGGTCAAATACAATACCGAGAGAGCAACTTTGAAAACAAACAATTAATATACTTGAATGCAAGGTTTAATGGGTGATACATACAGTAATATACCCGATCCCCCGCAAGATTCCTAGTAACGTATCGCTAAACATTGCAGTGTAATAGCTGGGTATTTTTTTGTCGAATGATATCCCCCCAATAGCACTCGGTCTCATCAGGTAGTCGGCCCCAGTATAATACGTATCAACATGTGAAAGCGAACTCCCAGATGACCATGTACTCGGTGTGTAAATAATTGCGTTGGTAATGCGCAAACAAGTCGGAAACCATATGCTGGTAGATAACGGCGTTTGAAATAATTGAGCTAACGATTCGCTAATGTTGTATCCCGCCGATTGATTAAAGAACGTATTCTGCTCAATTGAAACGGTTAAGCTTTCTACTATTATATCAGAGTAAACGCTTAGCCAAACGTTATTCAGATTATCACCGAGTAATTTGTTGAATATAAATGGCTCCAGGATACCAATGATTGAATCGTTGGAGGTAATCAGATACGACGGCATAAACCCTGCTAGTTCTGGCTCTTCCCAGTATTCCCAAGAAGATAGAAATCCTAGCCCGTGCATCATTTCATGCATAGTTACTTGTTAGCATATTCTTACCTGAAAGAAATTCAAATGATTTCTCACTAGTTTGTCCATAAAACCCGCCATAGTTTACATGGCTACCTCCCCAAAGCTCTTCATCCCCAATAAAATACCAATTATAGTCGCTATTGAATTCTGAAACGATATCGTACTGAATCTGTGTCAAATTTTCATCTTTTGGGTAGTATTGTTTGATTAGTGATGGAGGGTACAGGTAATTAGCATCAAGACCCAATTCTACTGCTTCATCGGGTTCCAGCCGAATCATTGTCGATGGCATAGCCGTTCCAAGCACATTATCTACTGGGCAAGAGTTTGGCGTTTGGCAAAATGAATAGAATTGAGACAACACATTCACAGGTTCTGGCAAGTAGATGTATTTTTCTACCATTCTCAATCCTTGCTCCAGCGTGTTCATTACTTTTATGCATGTTGTATTTGTATCTCCCGGAGGAGATGTACATTCCAAATCGACAATGAAGCTATTTGTTTGAAAGGTAAAAGTGGTTGCTCTTTTCCTGTACTTGCTTGGATTATATACTCCGTATCTGATTTTACGAGATGATTTATCGAGGCTGTATATATCCCTGACTATCGATGATTGTGATAATGCAATGAGCAATGTAAACATCATGAAACGCGTTTATTTTTCAAGTTTGGTTTTCAGCTTTTCTAATTGGCTTTTGCACATCAGTGTCCATTCAGAGTGCTCTTGGCCCAGTATATCTAATAATTCCAAACAAGATTGCTCAAGACCGTCAATTGAATCAAAAATCAATTCATCGTCGTATTCGATTGGCAAGTACAGACTGCTGATTAAATCATCCGCTTTTTCGCTAAACTTGGCGGCCAAGTCTAGAATACTATCTGCCTGTATAATATATGCAGCAGGGTTTGCTTTCAAAATAGTCTTGGCTTTCTTTACCACAAGAATACTGGTTTTCACCAACAATTGACTGTTTTTTATAAATTCCTTGTCTTTGTCAGTAGGTTTCGAATCTTCAAGAGACAATCCATCCAAATCCGGTAGTTCTCCGTCAGCGATATCATCAGCTTCCGCAGCTGCATCGTCCAGCAACTCGATTACTTGCGACAGCAACTTGAACACATGTAAACTATTAGTTGTCGGAATATTCTGTAATGCTAGACACTTTTCCCACACTCCACCGGTCATGATATCAAAATCGCCTTCTGTTTCAAACACAAGGATAGCTGTCATTAAATTCAATGTTGCTTCCAACAAGTGTAGCTTTAAAGCTCTACCAATTGACAATGGTGCTGCAGATGCATGAGAGACTAACAAATTACAGTGTAATAGGATTGAATCAGTCGCTTGGTTCAATGCATTTTCCGATGAGGTTTCTTTTCTTGCAAGTGCATAGGTAGTGATATCATGATGAATCATTTTTGATATATTGCTAACTTCCGCTGAATTCAATTCAGTCCCTTCAGTCGACGTTGCAGTCACTGTCTGTATTTCCTTTTCCAAATATTCCTGAAGTGTTTTCAGCTCTTCAAACATTTTCAAAAAAACAAAATCTCAAAATGCAATTTTGGGTTGCGCTGATACTGGTCCTAATGATCACATTCATAATGTTTGCGTCGCTAAGAGAAAAGTCGGATACGATATTAGTGGTATTAGGATCAGGAGGTCATACGACGGAAATGTTCAAGCTGTTGAAAAATATTAATTTCCAGCAATACAAGTTTTTATATTTAATCGCTGATTCAGATACTACAAGTGAAGCACATTTAAAAAAGTTTGATCCGAGTTACACACTTTTACGCATACCGAGAAGCAGAGCAGTGGGGCAGTCATGGCTATCTACGCCATTCACAACACTGTACTCTGCATATTATTCTGTATATATACTGTTTAGATATGATCCAGCGTTGTTAGTTTGCAATGGACCAGGAACATGCGTTCCGATTAGCGTACTGGCGTTTATATTTAGAATGTTCCTACTATGCTCAACCAGGATTATTTTCATCGAATCCTTTGCTCGAGTGCGCTCGCTATCCTTGAGCGGCAAGATTTTGTACTTTATCGCGAATAGGTAATGGCCAACTAACCAGATTTATTGTTCAGTGGCCTCAACTAAAAGAAAAGTATCCAAAGGTGGAATATTACGGAAAGCTAATATGAATAAACTATTTTTGAGCATTCGTTTAGCTGGTAAGCGGGTTTCTGCAACATTTCGAAAAAATGGTCACTGCCGGGTTCGAACCGGCGGTCTCTTCCGTGTGAAGGAAGCGAGTTAAACCACTTCTCCAAGCGACCGCAGCTGGATGAAAAAAAGTGTAATTAATAAAGAAAAAAATTACATAAGATTACCAAAATAAACAACCAGCAGGTAAACAATTGACTGCTCAGAGTTATGAATTAGAAAGTGGTTTTATAAGAATTACAATTTCTTTCCAGTTCGAACAGCTTTTCCAATCTTTTTCGCAAGAACTTGAGCTCTGGTTTTCTTGATTTGACCAGGAACCGACTTTTTCTTTCCTACTTTAGGTTTGGCTTTTAGTTTAATGCCGTGATCTCGCTTTGCTCTTGTTCCTTCAACTACTTTGGTAACTTTGGCGGATTTGTCTGCCAAGGCTTCTACAGATCTGGTAACGCGCATTTTGCGTCCTTCCAGTTCGTTGTCATTTAGCTTTAATGCCAAGACTACTGATGCTTTTTCTTTGAACTGCACATAGCCAAATCCCTTACCAACGTTGGTTTTACGATCTCTAATAATCCGGACGTTTTCTATGTAAATTGTAAGCTACCAATTTCTCCAATATCTTCAAAGAATTTCCATACTTGCTCATCAGCAATATCAAATGGTAGATTGCCAACGAAAACGCTTCTCTTGGAATCGCGCTGCTTTTCCTGTTTCTTTTCCGCAATGTCAACTCTAATGTGGTGGTCCATGAAAATAGTACCATTTAGTGAGAGCGCATTCTTTGCACCTTTGTTTTCTTTAAAGACAATGTATGCATTCAATGATTCTCTCTTGTCGTGGAGTTTTTTTGCGATAAACGCTTGCTTTCTTGGCATTTTCTCTGAAAAAGCCTAAGTTAATACCAATTACAATTGAACGGAATCTAATACTTTCCAATTTTCCAAATTGACTAAATAGCTTTTGCAAATCCTTTGTTGGTTCCTAGGATTAGTTTGATGCAACTTTTTCAATGACGGTTATGGGCAGGTTTCCAACAAAGATAGTACGCTCGTTCTTTTCAATTACTTTTTGGAGCTTTTCTCTTCTCGTTTCGTAGTCACCTTTTGTTTTTGGAACCTCGTCTTCATCAGATATATCAGAATTGGCATCTTTAATAATTTCTACTTGCTCTTCTTCTGCTATAGGTTCCTTGGGAGCGTTCTTCAACTCCTCCAATTTCTCCAATTCCTTTTTGCCCTTTTCCTTCTTTTCTGACTTTCTTTTTCCTACTTTTCCTTCTGGTTTTTTTGAAATTTCCGGTTTTTCTGGTGTTTTCAACTTTTCTTTAATTTTTTTTGGTTTATCTCCAGATACATCCTGCTTTTCTGGAGCAGTATCGACTGCAAATAGAGCTTTAACTGTTTCATCGGGGGTAATTGCGCCAAAGAGCGAGGAGACTATACTCATTTTCAGAAAAGAAAAAAAAAGAAAAAATATAAAATTCATCCAGCGGGTCTCGCCAGCTGCACCATGTCTGAATTAAAATAGCATCCTGTTCAATTCATTCATGCTCCTCGCCATTTACTTTTCCCGTTTTTTGGGCAAGATGATATGTGGCTTGGCAGACCCTCTGAAAAAAGTCTGTTGAATTGAAAAACTTAACTTGCAATAAATGCTGAAGGAGAAGCAGTTAACTCCAGTATCTCTCTCACCACCGTCGATGGCAGCAGCAAAACAGAAAACTTCAATCACTTCCTCCCCTTTATCTTCAGTATGGAGCAATGACTTTGATCTCCAGTCTGATAAAGACAGTTCAAATGTAAAGGAGGAGAAGAGTAAATTGGGATTTAACCATAGCTTACAAACTCACTCACCAAGAAGCACTGCAAGTATTTTCAAGAATAGAAAATGCATTTAACAGCATGAAGCAAAGGTAAGGATCAGCGCAATTTCAAATTTGGTGCAGATATCTAGAGATATCCAACAGCATTTCATCTGAAATCTCAAGAATAGACAAATTAACCTCTAGAATATTCGATGAAGGAATGGCTGAAGTTGAAGCCGAAGAAGAGTCGGTTAGGAATGGTTTCAATGATTTAACTGTAGGAACTAATCTTGAATTTGTATCTCAGCTAAAAAAGATGGAGGAACAGCAAAAGGACAGACTTCAATTTCTGCTTCAAGAAAAAAGCTTTCAAGAGCGATTAGCTATTAACCAGTTCGAAGCTACAGTCCAACAGTTAAAGACAGCCCTAGAGGTACGTTTATTTCTCATTACAGGTTGGGAAAATATACAAGCGGAAGGAAATCCTAGAACAAGTTTACAAGAAAAAGAAAAGACACCAGGCTGAAATTAGAAAACATAGAGCCTGCTATGCTCCTGCTCTAGAATCACATTATAACTCTCTAGGTACTTTTGTATTAATGCAGTTCAACGCAACGCTATATTCCAGCATAGAAGACATCGCCAAGAATTAAATGAGTGGAATCCCATATTAAAAGTGGGGTTCCCATCCAGCTCTATTAACGGGTTGACTGAAGAAGAAGCGCTGCAGGATTTGAAAATGCTGAGCGGGGTAATTAATTTTTAAAATAGCAAACTGATTGCCTCTTTGAGCCTGTGAACAACGAAAATGTTCTCAAAACATGTAATTATCCAGTTATAGATACTCAGACGCAGAAACCGCTAATCGTTATTAGGGGTGAAAAGTTGTATATCAGAGGCATACCCTATTGCAAGAATGACAAGGCATATCTGTTTGATAACGGAGCCAAATTTACGGTCAAGCTGATAAATATTAGCGATCGGGATTTGACTGTACAAAGAACAGATGGTTCCAAAACAAGACTTTCATTTGCGCTCTTACTGGAAGGACGAGTGACACTATCTCCAACACTGTGAAATGTAATAGATTCAAATAAAATTGTATTTACCTGGATGTTTGCGAATTTCAAATTTACTGAATGTCAATCAGAAAAGCAGCTTCGTTAATTGTGCTTGCAAAAGAAACTGGGAACCAATTCAAAGTATTGCTGCTACAAAGAAGCTCGCATGGATACTTTGGAGGACTAGCAGTGTTCCCTGGCGGTGCAGTCCATCCTTCCGATGCCAATCCAGATTTCACATGCCTGCTCCCAAAACAACAACACCCTTGGTTCAAAACTCATTCCAACTACGCAATTGCAGCCTTAAGAGAGACATTTGAAGAAGCCGGACTACTTTTAATGGAACCATGGGTAAAGTTATCCAAAGATCAAAATATAGAATTGCGACAAAAAGTGCTCAACGATCCCACCCAATTCATTTCAATATCCAGAACGTTGCTGAGGATTCCTATTCTGCACAAGTTGATTTATTGGGCAAATTGGATTTCACCAGTACACATGGACAAACATAGATTTGACACTCATTTCTTTTTGACTGTGATTAGCCAAGAACAAAGAGAGGATGTTTCGTTGGAAGCAGACGGCAGAGAAACGCTTAAAGCACTATGGATGACCCCACAAGAAGCGCTAGAAGCCTATGCGAGAAAAGGTAGATATCCTTAATGCCAGAATTGCAGCTGCTGCCTCCACAGTATTGCACATTAAGGCAGCTTTGCGAAACGCCAATTCAAGACATTGAAAAGGAAATCCAGGACACTGCTTCATGCAGAGATGTGCCGGCTTGTATGCCAGAGTACCTTCGTCCTTCTGAAGACGGAGGTGGTTTATTTGCGCTGCCGGGCGATAAGGAATATTCTCAGCCTGGAAACAGTCTAAATAGACTCGTGATGCACCGAAAGGATGGAAAAGTTGAACAAATCAGATGGCAGAGATCAAAGCTTTAATAAACTCGCAATTATAAGTTATTTACTGATATTTACCAATTATATCCAAACCAAACAGAACTACAGAACCCTACGCTTGTAGGCACATTGAGTGCGAAATGACAAAAGCATTTGCCGACCATAAAGAAAGCGTCATACAGCGTCAATTTGCCATCACCATCAATATCCAAGTGCTTTTGGGCCAAATATTCGATTTTCTCCCAGTTGATAGTAATGAATTCAAAGTACGTCAAAACCTAAATTAGACACGACTACCTGAAGAATGAGGCACATGAATCCCAGCATCAAAACCAGAGTTTTCCCTATGGTTTTGAAAGAATACCCAATTGAAAATCCAAGTATGCATGCCTAGTTTAAGGTCGATTTACAAATAAAAGTTCAGTTGGGCGAGTATTTTCCACTAAAGAGACAAAAATAGGCTTTCCAGTAATCTGAGGTTGCAAGCGGCTGTGTTCTTGGCTGTGAATCGAGTTGATGGTATTGGATCTTGAAGACATTTCCTCGGTTGATCGTCCGGGATTGCGGTATTCATTTGGATTGCGTTTGACAAATTTGTATTCTGGCTCAAGCACCATCCCGACAGGATCATAGTTTCGTTGTTCATGATATCCCTGGTTTGAGATGTGGTGTCCGTTTCGATTTTCGTGGTACTGGATTTGCTCGTTTGGACTTAACCCATATATCGGTTGATATTCTTTTGGAGCTGAGCCATATATATTATTAGTGGAGCTGATTGGAGGAGACCCATAACTCGCTGGTGGTGAAGAAGTGTAATAGACTGGCGGTGAAGATCCGATAATATTAGACGGGCTGTTTTCGGGTCGACGGTCGCTTGTAGAGTTCCGAGTGCTTGGTATCTTTATTACTGGTTTCCTAATCTTTGTGTTATCCTCTGCAACAAACTCCAAATCGGCAGGAGGAACAATATAGGAATCATCTTCATCTGCATATTTCCTATCCTTGGGATATCTCGATTTCATCTCATTTGGAAATGTAGGAATGACTTTGTATTCCATTTCTCTAGAAAAATAAACTGCGAGAATTGGCTGTGGATAAATGTCTGTGCCAGTTGTCTACATGAACACGAATGAGTTGACACAAATTGAAATTATATTATTGAAACACTTTGGCGACCTGATCAATCAGATCTTGCTTCTTTTTCTTTGAAATTTTGACACTCTTTTTCTTTAGAATTTCTGTAAGGATTGGTATTGTGTATTTGCCGATTGATCCGTCTGCAATAGCTTTCTTGATGGTTTCATCAGTTAAATCCTCATTATCAAGCTTTGCTTTCTTATTAGCGG